TCCCTCCAACTCCCCCACTGCTCCCCCATCCCAATTTACCTTAGGTCAAGTGGCCATTTTTAACTCAATCTTACCTCCCCCTAACCTCCCCTGGATGTCTGTATATACTCTTAAATTGTTGAATACTTATTTCATTTTTATTAAACAAACACTTAATGTAGTGAACTAAGGATAACTAGTAACAGATCATGGTGAAAGACAAGGATTTTAAAAGAAGTGTTCTCTAATATATTTTTTAAATGCAAGGTTATTAATAAATAAGAAAAGTCTGTCAGGACAAGTTAAATAAAATGAAATTGCACGAAGCATGTATTCAAATGTAGTGCAATTCATTGTAGGGTCTACAGTTTCTCATTATTAAAGGTGCTGATCTTATCTACTGTTAATTTATTTGCAGGGCACTACTACAGAAACAGAAATGAAAAAGAGAAGATCAAATTCTTTTAATGTTTCTATGGATTTTCTGGAAGATCCAGCTTTAAGAGAAAGAGCCATGAGTATAGCTAGCATACTTACAAACACTATGGAAGGTGTGTTCTGTGTTTAATTTAAAATATAATATATTCTGATATTAGATGTTTATAAATTTATGTTCTTCTAAAACGTAAATATTTTAAAACAGATTAATAGCTAATGCCAATGGACATGATTGTGTCACATTTCTTAATGAAAAATTTATATTTAATTGTTTTGTGACTACTTCATCTCATGTGCTTCCTAAGCAGAGGGCATGCTGGGCTGCGGGCACCCAGCTCTCAAAATGTTGGTGAGGGGGGAGCCCAGGATCAATACCCTAGGCTCCTCCTGCAGAGATAAGTAGAAAGGCATGATGTGGAATCAGGGATCCAATTCCAAATTGCACCCCTGCCATGTGCATATGGCCTGGCAGGAGGCACATTTTTGTGATCAGGGATCAGATTCCATGGTGCTTTTAAATCAACTTGTATTAGGGGCTTAATATTATTTTTGTATGCATGTATATGGTTATGCCTTTAATACCATTGTCCAGAGATATAGCTAAAGGTTCTGTGCTAGCTAAAGTTCTTGTAATTTTTTTTTTTTTAAGAAAGATTGAAAATTTCTTTGACAACTAATACATTAAAATCCCTGTTATCTGGCATCCTTGGGGTAAGGAGATTGCCAGTTCTGTAAAAATTCCAGTTATCTGAAATAACCCAGCAGGGGTTTTCAGATAACATAGAATGGGGGGAGTGGCCACATGCAGAGCAGGGGAGGGGTGTGTGGTGGTGGCCACATGCTGCGCAGCAGCAGTGCAGGGTAGTGGGTGATGGTGGTGGCCGCTGTGTGCAAGCTTTCCCGCCCCCCACCTCCTCCCTCTGCATCTGGCCACCCAGATGGAAATTCCAGTTAGTAGAGTGTGCGGGTTAGTAAAATCCCAGATAACTGGGATTTTACTGTATTTCAACATAATTAATTGAAAATCAAAACCCTTTAAAAACTAGAAGAACAGTGAGGGGGGAAATTTCCACATTAAAATACTTATCTAAAATGCTTGTTACAAGTATAGAGGATGAAAGGTAGAAAGGTGTCAAGAAAACTGTCTTTACATAAATCTCTTAAAGGAAGTATACAAAGGAATCTTATGGAACAGTTGTACAAGATTTGTGTTCTTTGTTAAAATAAGATTTGTTAAAGTTTAGCCAAGATTGGCAAGATGGAATGATAGGTCTACTTTATTTGGAAAAGGCTACTGATACTGTATAGTATGATATTCAGTTATTCCACATATTTATTTTACACATTTTTTCCTCCTAGAGCTTGAAGAATCACGACAGAAATGCCCACCGTGCTGGTACAAATTTGCAAACATTTTCTTGATTTGGGACTGCAGTCCTTATTGGTTAAAAGTAAAACGTATAGTCAATTTAATTGTGATGGACCCATTTGTTGATCTGGCTATTACTATTTGCATTGTTTTAAATACATTATTTATGGCCATGGAACACTATCCAATGACACCAGAATTCAATCATGTGCTTTCTGTTGGAAACCTGGTAAGTCTATCTATTTGTCATGTAATATTTGCTTATTTTTTTGGTTTCAAAAGTTACACAACTCTGTTATATAATTAAACAATGTAATTTTATATTCTTACGTATGTATTTATTGGTCTCTAGAAATATCTGTATGTTAACACTTTTTAGAGATGTCATAGTCAACCTTTCCTCGCGTAACTTTAGGTTTTGACAAAATCAATAAATTAAATAATCCTTTATTTAACACATTTCTTCTCAAATCTATTGAATAATCAGAGACTAAACAAGAAAAACTATATCTGGGGGTGCAGACAGAGGTAACATTTGAAATGTTGCAAACTATAATGGCCATGAAATGTTTCAAAACTGGAGTGTTTCAGCTGTAGACAGACATTACAGGCCCTTGTTGCACTTCCCTACTGAAGCTCTTCAAAATTATCACAGTGGCATGCCAAGAAGCACAGCAGAGGATGCAGTGAAGTGGTGTTCTGGTATTGGATACTTTTATATCTCCCCTTTAAGAAAATTTATCCCAAAGCTTAAATGATTAAATTATCATAGTAACACAGGGTATGTGTAGTGTAGTTTGTAGTGTAGTGTGTAGTATAGAGCTCCTGGGTATGTGTAGTGAACATGATGTCATATAATCTCCCTCATAAATTTATCAAGCTCTATCTTTAAAAAGTTAAGATGTTTGCCTACACTACTAGAAAGCTGTTCCAGAACCTGATTGCTCTAATGGATAGGAACCTTCTTCAGATCTCCAGTCTGTATTTATTCATGGTAGTTTATACCCATTTGTTTTTGTGCCAACAGTGTCCTTTAGCTTGAAAAGCCCTTCTCCTCCTTTGATGTATTTATAGCTAACAATCATCTATAAATCTTTTGTTTCTTTTGTTTTGCCTGGCTAAACAAGCCAAGCTTTTCTAATCTCCTCATGTAAGATAAGATCTCCATCCTAGTAGTCCTCTTATGCACCTTTTGCAATTTCACTTCATCTTTGTTGAACATAGGTGATCAGATTTGTACACAGTACTCCAACAAGGTCTCACTAGGGACTTTTATATGACATTAATACTAGGTTAGACAAATGTACTTTTTAGCTACTTTGGAAGTGAAAGCTAGGGAAAGCTACTGTTTCAGAGTACACATCAGCTGATTTGATCTAATTGTTATATCTGCATAAATCTTTAGCAATGGAAGTTAGCTAAATTACCTTATCTTCAACCTTGTATGAAACATATCATGCAGATTTAGAAGTTGCATTTTAATAGTTTATTTCAGCATCCTTTGATTCAGTTGTTATGTTTGTCTTTAGCCTATTTCTTCAGATCCTATGATCACATTTGCCTTTTCACAGCTGATCACATTGGCATTTATTAGTCAACTTGTGATCATTTAGTTATACATCCAAATCCTCTTCCTCCACAACTATTTCCAATAGATGAATTCCCAACTTATAATTTACAGCCCAGAGAATTATGTGCAGAAAAATTAAAAATTATGCGCAAAATTAATTAATTACTTTTTTTTTACAAATTAAATTAAATATAACACTATCTGAACCTTCTTAGAAATATATGCAGGTACTTGTGCGTAGGGTGGGTGTGGGGTGTAGTTGGGGGTGGGTGGTGGGTGCAAGGGGGTTTTTGAAGGTGGGAATGGCTACATGGGGGGGGTATGATGGGGGGGGGGGGGGGGGGTGGG